AAGTAGCATTCTCTAAAAGTGTCATGTCGTTGTAAGCATTAGCAAATATTTTGTTGCAAAGAAACCGAAATCGTCTTGTTTGATGTAAGGTAAGCAGTACTTTTAATATTGTATAGTTTTACTGCATGTGTATATAATGTGATACGTGTTTGTATTCGCTTCTGGTATAAATGAGCAACATTACTCATCAGGTTGTCTATAGTTTTAACTGATAACATAATATTATATTTTGATGTTTTCTTAATTTAGACATTTAGGGTAAAACGATCCCTTCGTAGGAGGGAAAAATGATCCCGGGATCATTTTACCTGCATTATTTCCTAACATCTTTCATTACTTATTTTGTTGTCTATCTTGTATGTATCAATTGTGAATACACAATTTTGTTTGGATTTATACGTTTACTGAAATTAAAATAAACTTTAGTGACAATTTCATTTTTCGATTTTGCCTGAGTTTAACAGCGGTTTAAAATGATCCCAGGGGATCATATTACCCCCGCCCTAGGGATCATTTTAGCCAACTGGGTCTTTAAAATGATCCTTTTGTACACATTGTTAAAAATGCATATAGACAAATATCTTACTATTTCATTAAAATCTACCTTTACTAAATAATAGGCAGGCAGACTTGGCTATCAGAAAAAATAAAAAAGAAGACTACATTCTTAGTCGAGGCGTTTTTTATATCTGTTGTCTCTTAGGGGGATCATTTTGTACCACACTCCCCTAGATAACTTTCTTACTATGCTGAAATAGCTAAAGAAATATATTTAAAAATGTTTCACCCTAACGCAGAAGCATTTAGTTTTGAAAAATTTAGTGGTAGCTTTGTACTATGTACCTATACCTACAATAATTACGCAGGTATTGCAATATCCCATAATATTGCATCCTGGCATGCGAGTATTTGTCAACATTCCGAACACGGATGCCATGCGAACATGACATACATTTTCCGACATCAAAAACGCTTTTGAAGTCTATGGAAACGTGTTTCAATTACCACGGGTAATTTATGTGTAATATTATCGGTTCCTAGATTTTATTTACGCTTGTGAAACGTATGTAGAAAGTTTATTGATGTTATTATTACACAATGATGCAAACATTTATGTAGCTACTGTGCTAGTAAAATGAAATAACATTATAAGAACAATATCGTGATAATCTTGAGTATTGAGGAGTTTTTAATATTGATGGGATTTATATAGGTATAATAATTGACATGTCTAGGCTCAGAACCTAATCTTTGTCTGCAATAATATCAAAGTTACTTACCTCTGCAGTTGCACTTAGGTAATCTGGGACACCCTGTACATGCCTTTCCGCCCCCAAGGAAAATTCACTTACATAAATAAGCTCTATTTACAGGTTCGCAGAGGAGGCATGAATGGAGCGCGTTATAAAAGTGTAATCAAAGCGCGAAGGTCTGAGAAAGATGGGAAGAAAGAAATCTTGAAAGTAGAGTGGAGGTTGTTCACAATTAGATAGTGAAGGGCGTGAAGAAAAAATGCGTTACAGAAGGAGGAGTGAAAGAGGGATATATATCTACAAAAAATGCGAAAAACGGATGAAAGTGTGACTTGGAGTTGAGATCCTTTGAAAGAAGATATGGAAGTATGAAATGTCTAAGAGTGGATGACAGATAAAGAAGGCAAAAAGAATATATAAAAAAATGAAGAATAGTTGATCAGAAAAAACCTCGGAAAAAACGAGACGAAAAGGAAAGTTGATTAAATAAGAAAGAAGACGTGAGCGTATAAGGAGGTCCGAAAGAAGAGTACAAAAGTCGTGGAGGAAAGGTTACAAAAGAAGGCGTAAATGAGACATGAAGCACGCGCGAAGGAGTATTGGAGAAAGCTTAACGGTACCTTGGAAGGAGCTCTAACAGTTTATTTTTATTTCTTCATAAAACTCTCTACACCTATAAAGATTCAACTTCAACATACCCTTATGGTAACTGTGCTAAGTGGGTTGCCGTTGTGTAGGCGCAAAATGAGTGCATTACAATCTCGCCCTACTGGACAGGAGAACGTCCCGGTCCCTGGTTTAGTATTAGAATTTGAGAGTGTCTTCCTAGGGCGGCCTCGTTTCCTTATGAGTCGGATAGGCTTATGTTTGGTTCAATGGGTCCATTTTATGGGGTTAGGACTGTAGTAGGTATGGTATGCACCTAGCGCCGCGGTTCTTGTGTCTTTGTCTTTGACTACGTATGGTTGTGGGGGAGAGGCCCTGGAGAACCTTGTACGGTCCTTTCCGCTTTGGTTTCCTTCCCTTTGGTGTGCTCTTCCTCTTGATTTAGGCGGGCTTCCCTGAGGATATCCGTGAGGTGTATGAGATATACGACGTACCGGGGTTCCAGTAGCAGTCCTCCGCCGTTCTGAGTTCGCGTCCCATGTTCATCGCAAAACGGATCGGTGATAGTTTGTCGGGCCAGTTCGAAAGTTATCTTTCTACTAGAATGCCCACAATTGAGTTTTTAGATCCCGGTTTTTTCTCTCCCCTGGGTTTGATTGTAGGCGGTAAAAGGGAGTGATAGATCCGGTGGATTCCTAGGCAATGGGTGATGTATTTGCACCACGTTATTGCTGATCAATTGGGTGCTATTGTTGCTAATAATTCTTCTAGGGGCTCCATAGCGAAGGAAAATTTCTGAGATTAGCGTATTAGCGCAGGATTTACTGCCGGTTTTCACCAGGCCGAAAAGATCAATCCATTTCGTCACAATGTCTTCGGTTACTGGGATCCATCGTTTTTGGTTCGGTCTTTCAGGGAGGGGTGCATCGCCAATGTTTCGAGTCGTCTGACGGACGCTGGGGTTTGCAATAATCCGGGTGGTTTTTGATTAAATGCCTTCGTTGTAGCGTTCCCTCTACACCACAGACGGGGAGCGAGTCGTGCTATTCGTGGACAATTTGGCCCCTTTCCTTGCTAGGCACTACTTGCTGAGGGTCCTCCCCGGCTTGGTCGTGTAGGTCAATTCGAATAGGATGTGTGTTTTGCTGGTGCCTCTGCTGGTTAGGATATAGGTTAGTGTTGCTTTCGCACCCTTAGTTGGCACGTGCGTGCACGTGCTGCGTGCTAAGTAAGTGGGTTGCGGTTGTGAAGGCGCAAAATGGGTGCGTTACAATTTAAAATGGGACATAGAGAAAACGTTAAGAATGGAGCAAAGAAAGAGAGAAGAAGGAATAATGGAGGCACGAAAGAAATGCGCGAAGGAAGGGCGCAAGATGAGTGAAGGAGAGGTGATCGATGGAAACCCAAAGGAAGATGTAAGATGTAGAACAAAAAGTGACGAATTACGAAGGAGTCGCAAAGAAACATGAAAGAGGCGTTGAAAGGTGGACACAGAAAAAGCACGCGAAGGAAGAAGAGGTGGCAAGCAAGAAGGTGTGCAGGAGACAGTAATTCGGAAGAGTATGAAAGTAAAAGGTGTAAGCGTGGACAATCATAAACGAGCGGTTTTAAGGGTCGAGGAGGCATAAAGGAGACTAAACTGACTATAGCACGCGTGAAGGAAGAGTGAGGATATGACTTGAAGGTGGTGTCAAACGTACATGACGAGTACGAAACGAGGTGTGAAGGAAAATGAGTGGGAAATAAAGACACGGGTGGAAAGAAACATGAAAGAAGGCCGGCGTGACGAAAGGGGAAGTTTTTTGATAATTGTCGTAACTTCCTGAAATGTCATTCTAATGTGTTTGTCCTCTGATAATTAATAATTTAGTATTAATTCTGGAAGTGGATGAGATGGATACAAGGTGTACGTTTTCGACCGCCGTAGGACTGAAGTGGCAACAGTTTCAGCTACACCAAAGTCAAAATGTGGGGGCACGATTCTGGGAACGACACTAGTCCTTGTACGACAATGGAATGTGAAGAATGCGGAGGAGTGCATTGGTGGCGTGGATGAGGCTGTAAATGCCAACAGGCACATCAAGAGGACGAGACTGCCACCATGGTTAACATGTCGCCGTGCAATTTCCACGTTTCTCTCAGGACGAGGTCTGTGATTGGATTGCCTCACGCCCGAGGGAATTCTGGGAGCGAAACGAGGCAATGGAATTAGGTAAGCCACATTCATCAAGCGGTTATTGAAAATTTAATCAAGAGTTCCAAAGGAGCAGCGGAGCCGTTGAGGTCACTTACCATAATAGGTACTATCGTGTAAAGTTTATGAATCAATTAAAATTAAAACTATTATTATTCCATATTTACTATTTTTTGACAGTCGTTCTCGGTGAATTCGTACCGCCTATTAGTCCATGTCGTTCCCGTCCCCGTGCTAATTTCGGGATATCCTTTCGGAGTACCACCTTTACGCACCTTCAAATAAACCTATGTTCTAAATGTCTCTATCTGTCGCAGTTTCGAATGTAAAACCTAAATTCCATTTTTCCCCGTTCGCGTTCCCATGGGAATTTCGGGAAGTATTTTACTAAATAAGAAACCTTCGCGGCCATACGTTGAATCATTTCCCAAAGTTTTATTGCAATCGGATGAACGGCTTACAGATACACAAACATGCATTTTTATTTGTATAGCTATAAGCTATATAAAAATAGCAGGTCCTGTGTGACATCCTGCATCAAAGATCATCACTAGTCAGGCGAAATGTACAAATGCTAAATATTATATAACTTATAACTATATTTTCCAAAAAATTAGTGAAGATGAATGAACAAATTAAAGACATTGGTCCATATGAATAAAAGGGAGCATATACTTATACTTGCAAAATTCAAAGTATAAATACTCGTAAGTGCCCTTCACACTGGGCGACGTGACAGCGCTGCTTACCCGCACTGCTGAGCAGAGGGCCGGGACGCAGTGCAGAACTGCCGAGGAGCCCAGTGTGAAGTGGCACTTATGAGTATTTACTTTGAATTTTGCAAGTATAAGCATATGCTCCCTTTTATTCATAAATGGGCCATTGGCACATAATCACTACCTACTATAAGGGATTGCAAACACTTACAATGCACATTTAAATCTTCGTAAATTTCTGAAAGGATGAACTCAACTTTATTACATTTTTTCTACAGAATATTACATAAACAACACTACAATCTAAACAAAGATTAAAATAATTCTTAGTGGAGAATTAAGCTAAACAACGAAAAAAAAATTAATTCTGAATACAATTTTACTTAGAAGCAAATAAATTGGAACTCAGTGATTTTTCCTAAGAAGGTTTATCTTTAGAAGCTAAATTGAGCTGACTCATATACTTCATTAGCGAAGATCTTTGTTGTGAGACACTGGCCGAATTGGAAATTCTTCGATCATCAAATGAATCCTCGATGACATTCGCGCTCACTGACGATTGGGAAGGGATCATAAAGGAGCGACTGTCCTGAAAATAGGGGAAGCATTTAAGAGCAGGTGTTTACATCCTCTTAATCAAATATTTGGGGACCATCTGACCACATCTCGATGTCCCAGATATAAAAACATATGGGTCTTACCTCCAATGATGGATTAAACATGGGACTAACATTTTTGGAAGAATTATTCCAAGCAGTACTTGTTGGTTGTCCTGGTAGGGAAAATGCAACCGAACTCGGTCGTCTTGAGAAAATTGATGATATATCCGAATTTCCAGGGGAAAGTACACCTGCCATAGGCGAGCCCGCAGGCGCCGTTTTAACCATATTCTATAAACAGAATACCTATGTAAAATAGAAATAATTTAGTCGAATACCTGTATCACTAAACGAAGCATAGCATTTTCTTTTTTCATGCCCTGCAGTGTTTTATAGCATTTATACAATTTTTGTTTGACAAGTCTGTGTTTATCAGTTAAACTTTGTGTGATTAAATTCTTATTATAATCTTGGAAGGTAGAGACCTACAATAGCATTTTATGTAACAGAGGATCGGCTTACTACAACGGAACCTGTTTTGCTTGATCCAAAACATCGCAGATTGAGTTAAAAAATGGCTGCATTTCTGGTCCCAGATTAGTTAAAGGTTTTAGGTCGGTAGGTAGCTTGCATACTACGCACTTGGTCTTGTCTACAAGAAAACTGTTAGTAGCAGTAATCGACTTGGACTTTTTGCACACACTACCCGACTTTGCTACGCAACCTTCACATTGCAGATGACCGCAGGTTGTGAAGTAAAAAGGCACATTTGAATTGTCCGTGGACAGACACTTGTTGCAGATCACAAATTCGGCCATTTTTAGAAAATTCTCAAAAGTGGCTAAATTGAAAATTCGAAAGAATTTATTTTGTTGTGGTAAAGGAAATGGATCACAATCTTTTGAATTCCAGAAAGTCGGAAGAAAGCATTCCTAGTTAAAGTAAACTAATCCTATTCCTAATAAATCAAAGCATTATTTAACAATCAAGGAGAAATTGTTACAATGTTATTAAGAGATAAATTATATAAATATCATAATTTTCAAAACTTACAATTTGGGGTTGGTAGTACTGTCATTTGTCAGTAAATTTAACCTAACCTATAAATAAAATTAAAATGTGAATGTTACTCTTCATGTTACTGCATACTTCAACTGAAATTTAAGTCTGTAGGTAAGTATACCCATTACAATTTTGATCATTCTTTACTAATTATGTATACTTAGGATGGTGTTGCAATATGGATCGGTTGAATATCTACTGGACTTTTTCGTGTAAGTAGCAAACTCGCATTTCTATGTACTTTTGTGAAGATTTTTAGCATTGAATAAAATTGAACATTTTTTATTGTCGTTATTTATTTTACGACCATCTTGTAAACAGCCTTAAAGGTACCTAATGGCTCTTAATAATTGGATTTCATGTCGGCCACCAACGGGTCGTTGAATACCTCACCAAGAATGACTTCGTAACAGAGGTACTTTTAGGTAATTCAACAGTTCATACCAGTACTAAAACGTATTCCATAATGTTATATGAGCTGCAATTCTCCGATTTCCGCATATTTGTTGTAGTGTTGAATTTGCCCTACAAGACCATGTAATTTTCCATCGTGCTCTTAACAGGAGGATTTTATTGCACCAAAGATGAGTCACATCCTGTGTATTTCACCCTGCTTACCTGACCCATTGCTCCCAAAACTTGTTTTTAACTTGCCTCTCGAAGCCCACCACGTGCTACATATTTTGTTAATATTGTTATAATATGTTATGCATTCCATCATTATTAGTATTATCATTATTTTCTAATTAACCCTCTTATTTACTGTTACTGGAGGGTTCCAGATCTAGCTTTGGGTTTCTCATTTCTCAAATTAAGTGAAAAACAGTTGTGAAAACCATCAAAGGTCGTCCAAGTTTTTTTTTATTTCTATACCAATTATTACATCAGTTTATAAATAAAGATCAAATTATTCTTAATAAACAGTTACATTGAATAATATTTATAAATTGAATTTAAACAATTTATTCCTCAATCCAAATTAAAAAGAATTGTAGTAATAATGAACCTATTTGATTAAATTCTTTGACAGCTTCTTTGTTCAGAACCTCTAGCGAGGTTTATTTTTCGAATCTAACTTGAGGTGACGAGCCATGGGCATCATTACCACAGGTCTTGCAGGTAGTGGAGCCTTGACAGAATTGGGAATTCTTGGGATCGGCGTTCTTTGATCAAATGACTCCTCGATTGTGTTCTCTCCCATTGACGACTGGGAAGGTGTCATAAATGAATGACTGACCTGAAAACATCCAAGGATGTGATTTGAGTTGTGATACATTTAAAATTTGTATGCGCCTGTATTTTTAAGTCTGCAGAGGCACTAATCACAAAAGCCATATTTCACTATATCCCACATATAAAACTACCGATACTTAGATATTGGTATTACCTCAATTCTTACATTAGACATGGGAGGTCCATTACTCATGTGAGGCGCCTGTTTAGCCTTTGAAGAATTATTCCAGGGAGTGTTTACTTGTTGCCCCGGTCGAGAGAGTGCTGTACCACTCCGATGCTTGGGAAATATGGACGAAATTACCGAATTTCCCGGTGAAGGGAATATTGCTGGTACACCTGCAGTTGCGGGTGTGCTTGTGGGTAGGGTTTTAGCCAGATTCTATAAAGACGAGCTTATGAAATAGAATTTACTTACGTATTACCTGTATATGTAATCGCAGCTTTTCGTTTTCCTTTTTTGCGTCCTGCATAAGTTTGTAACATTTGTACACTTTTGTCTTCATAAGTTTGTACTTATCCGTTAGACTTTTTATAACTAGATTTTTGTTGAAATCTTGGAACTTGTTCACCTAGAAGAGCGTTTGTAACGAGAATCATTAACGGTAGCTACCTGTCTCGCTTTGTCGAAGAGATCGCCTACTGAACGAAAGAATGGCTGCAGTTCGGGTGCCAGATTATTATTTAAGGGGATTAAGTCCGAAGGTGAATTGCATACGACACATTTTGTCTTATCTGTAACAAAATTGTTACTAGTAAATCGGAAGAAGGTTCGCTAGTAATTACCCGATTTTGATATGCAAGGTTCACATTGCATATGACCACAGTTTGCCACGTAAAAAGCAACGTCTGGGTTGTATGTCGAGAAACACTTGTTGCAGTTTACAAATTCAGCCATTTTAGAACATTAATAACAAAATTGTAGAGTAGTTTGATAGCAATTTGAAATTAAAAAAAAAATTCTTCATGTTGGGGCACCTGCAACGGAAACTGCAAAATATTCAAATAAGTAAATTAGTTGGCGACACTGGCTAACCGTTCGCCTAACGATTGCAATAATTCTGTATTTTAACAATTTGCTTTTCATTTAATGCTATTTTCTTGGAATAAATAAGTTTATTATCAGCTTGATTAAAACTTAAAAGTATTTAATTTTCGGAAGTCAAATGGTTTTTAAAATGGCGGCAATGGCGCCAAATATTCGAATGACTTGAAGAGAGTCACGGTTAGCTTTAGATGATTATCGTAATTAACCTCCAAAATGATGTAATACAGATAAAAAAATGTCAAGAATAATGAATCATTTACGTAGTAAACATTTAAGCGTGTTTTGAAAACGAGATATGTTGTTACCTACTCACGAAAATGTTATTAGTATTGTACAAGCAAAATTTTCTTGTACAGAAATAGTTCGAACAGTATCCTTTACTAAACACCCATCTTCTCTGTGCAAATGTATTTTTTTTACATAATTCCAATTTAGCTACATTTAAACGCCTCGATAACTCAAAAGGGATGGGTTGATGAAAGCCGAATATTAGCATTAGTCGAACACGATTCCACTTTTGCGTTATTTATTATCATATCCGAGAAAGTGAAGCCAGAATCCTTCTCAGATTTAACCATCGAACGAGCAATACCCATCGATAAGCACTTCTCTTGTGGTAAGCTCTCTCTTATAAAACATACTCGCTTGTCAATGTCAATTGCAGATACAGATCCGATTCCTGAGAGTTACACGCATATTATTTTCAGCATCATTCATAAAAAGCTCAAATTGAATTTTGTTATTGAGATTGGTTTCGAAAGTTCCAATTTTGCGTCTGAAGTTATTCGATTAAAAGAAGGTAAGATGGTGGACGTGAGTGCGTGGCGTAATGTTTGTTTGCAGTTTCGTCGTTTAATGTAAACAACTTTAATTGGTTGGATAAGTATTCGTGTGGTGGGAGCCAAACTGAAATTGACGTGCAACAAGCCACGATGAATGATCAGGTAATAATAATTTAACAAGGGAGAAAGGTAAAGTATTAATAAACAAAATTATATCATTAACGGCCGGTTGCAGGAAAACGAATTATAATCAAAATCCTACATTATTTGCCAAATCTGAGTTTAAACAAGAATTTTGACATTTGATTGGCGGCCTACTGCAATATAAAGCCAATCAAATGACTTAATACCGGATTAAACAATAATCCTGGATTATTTTTTTTGTGCAATTGGTCGTAAGTACAATATAATTCAATTAATTCTGGTCTAAAATGTGTAAGGATTCCATTAAATCAATGAGATGAAAATAGGGTAAATCTTTGACATAATACTTCCATAATGTCAAATGTGATAGTAAGACAGACAGACAAAAAAGAATCTACTGTCAACACAGGATTATTTCTATAATGTCAAATGTGATAGTAAGACAGACAAAAAAGAATCTACTGTCAACACAGGATTATTTCTGATCTGTGTGTTAAGGTATTGCCATTGTATTATGGATACTAACTGACGAGTTGAATTATCCGCATATCTAGGCCTCTGTAACAGTACAGAATCTTTGTTTGTGGTAAATAATATGAATTGTACAGGGTGGTTCAAATTGGACACTTTCTTATTGAATCACCCTTTATTTTAAGAGAAAAAATCTCGAAAAAATGGACCTAGGTGTCTGGAGCTCTATCTCAAAGAGAAAATCACAAAGCAAGAAATTGTGATTTTAAGTAATCCTGCCATCTTGTGTTCGCCATGATGTCTGCAATAAAAATATTTTAATGTATAAAACACAATGTTGCAAATAATATTAAATATAAATATAACAAGTGATACATGAAAATTTAGGAAATTTTACGATTCTTTCAAAAACTTCCAACGTAGGGTGGTCCGTATGTGAAACTGTAGTTTAAGGTCGTATAAGAAAAACTAAACTCTGTATAGAAACTGTCGTTCGCGATGTAAAAAAGTGCTCTAAGATAGATTTTGCCTTAATTAAGTTTTGGGGAATTAAAGAAATCGACTAAGTTTGAGAAGCGCCCCCTAGCGGCCAAACTATTAAAGATAGCAGAATTCGGTTTGTCACAGTGATTTTCTCTTTAATATTGAGCTCCAGGGCGGTTCCATAAGAAAGTGTTAAAGTTTATTATAAATTTTACTAATCAAAACTTTATAAAAATTGAGAGCATTATAATTTTACCACTCGTTTTTTCCATAATATTAAAATGACTTACAGTTTTTAAAAAATAATCCAAATGATCTGGTCGTGAAAGATTTGCGATATTCAGGTGTACTTATAAAAAATGGCCAGATGTCCCTACATTTTAACACCCATTTTCACGTTTTACAATTAGACAAATCTAAATAAACAATTTACAAAACCGATAAATTACTAACAATTCTAAAAGGAAAAATAGGCATTACAAATTCATGTAGAATAAACCAATTCTGTGCTTATTCATAGCTTTACACTTAATAAAATTGAAATACTCTCATATACAGGATGTTCCATCATTATTTTTGGTGTTTAGACCGCAATAACTTCTGTATAACAATAAATACGTTTTAACCACGTGTATCTAATTAGTAATTACAATACAGTAGTCACTTAGTTCGAGTCGGAAAATAGTTGAGTATCAAGTACCTAATGAAAAACGTTTAATTCAATATGTCATTTTAGTCTCCAGATCTGCCAATTGTGCGCCAGAAAGTTGCTCAAGGCCACGGTATATCAGCCAATCGCGAATCTTTCCTTCGTTATCAGCTGTCGCTGAAGGAGCCGGAGTATACTCACTTGCAAGAATTCAGGTAATTTGCACGGGCTTGTTACGAGCCAGTGTTTCTCATGATGAACTTTTTTTAGTATTTTCGTTGGAACGTGGAACGTCAATGGACAGCCGCCCACTATTTCGTTAAAAAATTGGTTGAGCGTCGACCAGGAACCGCCCGACGTTTACGCGATAGGCTTTCAGGAGCTCGACCTGAGCAAGGAGGCTTTTTTGATGTTCGATACGCCTAGGGAGGCAGAGTGGAGGTAATTGCACTGGAGGGGTGCGCGCGCGACATGTTACAGTTTAATTGTAGAAAAGCAATAATGGACGCGATTCATCCGGACACGAAGTATAGATCGGTCGCTTACGTTAGGCTGGTTGGAATGCAACTTGAAGTCCTGGTCAACAACAGTCACTATAAGTATATCAGGAATGTCGCAATTGATACAGTTGGAACCGGAATTTTAGGGAAAATGGTATGTATGAGGCGCTGTAGTCGAAATAAATGGTTGAGATTAATTAAAAATTTGACAGAATTACCGTGTAATTTTATTAAAGTTGTACATGATTATTCGATGTTAGTGACAAAGCGCTCAAACTGTCCCTTGGTGTGAACTACAAACAATGTTGAAGTTATGCTGTATGTGGCAACATTGGTTTTTTTGAAAATGGAGTTATCATAAATATCCCTCCCCCTGATTTAATTTAATACACCTTTTTTCTGTCACACATACAACTCATAAAATTAAGTTTTTATACAACAAACTGGGTCCAGTTTTGACAATTGAATATTTGAATGTGTTTATTTTCCTTTAGAAATTTGATTGTCACTTGTTTAGGATGGTTGTGACTAACAAAATGGCTCCGTCCAGGCGTAAAATTGCGCGTGGAGCAGTTCAGTTGAAGCTGGACTGCGGTACTAAGGGTCCCCGGTTCGGGCTTGGATATTCGTAAATATATAGTGGGTTGAGTTGGTAGAGCAGCCTTGGCTGAAGCCACGCCTACTCAAAAATAAGGCAAAATAAATATTGCTCTGTGCCACAATTCTTTTACATAGATATTGCATTTATTTATATTGATAACATTATGCGAGACATTACTCAAATCGAGACTCACATGTATGTATGCATTATGAGAAAAAAACTAGTATATAACATTATAACTGGTAAGGTATACAGGGTGATTCACGTAGTCTGTTCGTTAGAAGTTTTTAAAAGTTGAAATAGAAACTTAGAATTTAGTTCACAGCCATAAACGAATGTCGAATTGAAATAAAATAATCTAAAGATGGCGCCGCTTCCGTAAATACCCGGAATTTGGCGCCATCTTGAAGTAAACTAATTTCAAGATGGCAGTTGGCGCCGTCTTGGTTTTTTGAAACAGAAACATTCTATTTTTTCTAAATGCGCCATTTTATTGACAATTCAACGGATTTAAGATTTTTTGAATTTTTCTTTAAAAATGTATTCAAAAATTCAAATGTCTTAAACCGTTCAAGATTAGTCGGTGCTTTTTGTTTATGATCGACTCCTTAAAGTCTAGGGAATTTTTTGAGTGATTGCTGAAATTCTTGAAAAAGTTTTCAGGGCTACTGCGATTTTTCAAAATTCAAACGCTTCAGTTTTTCAGTTCGCATAGTGGCTTAGCACTTATATTAATACCATGGATGAGGTACACAAGTAGACCTCACAAATCAAAAGTTTGGGCACTCCTGCTTTATAGAAAAACAATTTTTAGCGCATTTTTAAGAATTTAAAAAAATTGCGTTTTGTCCGTCCATCCGCCTGTCTGCCCGTCCCACTTCTGCAGTTTTTGAACTACTTTCAGGGGAATTGTCGTACAGTCCTGGAATTTTTTGCAATAAGTAGCCTATACCTTGAAGGTGTGCCAGACGGCCATCAAATCGTGGTTTCCCTTATTTACCCCTTGCACAAAAAATTTACTTTAAAAAAGTTACAATTGATTGCTCTTTAGTATTACCATTGTTTATTCATTTATAGCTGTTTCACCTAAGTGCTGCCACATCCTGTCGAATTGTGGTACTATCCGGTCTTTTTTGTGTACTCTAATTTAAGCAATCTCTTCCATGGCTGAGTTAATATTCCTTTACTTATTTTCACAGATCAAATTACATTTAAAGGTAAGGGCAAAAATCTATGTAGGCGGCTTTACATTACGTTAGCGATTATACGCATCCTTATCTGAGATGGAATGTTAAATCCTAATTTGTAAATCAACAAATTCAATGAATTTTTGTTTTGTTTAAGTAGCCCTTATGTACCTACTTATACAGGGTGGACATTTTTTCTGGAACATTGAATATACCTTCAAAGAAGTTTTGTATGGCATTCACAATTACCCATCTAATTTGTGGTACGTGGCGTTATTTTTTAATGCCAACTTTTCCACAGCTATAATCGAATATTGCAAATTGAAATAAAATAATATCAAGATGACGCCGCTTCTGTAAATACTGGAAGGTGGCGCCATCTTGGTTGTTTAAAATAGAAACGTGCCATTTTCTATTTTTTCTAAACGCCCCATTTTATTCTGAATTCAGCACATTTAAGATTTCCGTACTTATTTTATGAACTATTATGACGAAACGATTGCTTCCAAACCCTACCACACCTAATAAACAAATAAGAATTTTTCTTTAAAAAAATGCCAATAACTCAAAAACTACCGGATATAGGCATACAGAATGCTAATAAGAGTTGCCCTAAAATTAAAATCTACATTCATTTCTGGTATCAGAAATAGTAGTTGCAATAGCACATTTTTTTGTTATTGAGATGTGCTAAAAAATGTTGGTTATATTGTTCTAAAAATTTTAAGCGTCTGCATTACTATAATCCAGTTTTGGATCTGGGCCAATTCATGTAGTCCCCCCTTTTTAGCGCAACAATGTACCAATTTTTTTTGTATCTACTGTGCCTCAATGGTGCTGAATTGTGCATTAATGGTTACGGTTTGTGCTTTTTTGGTTTTAGAAATAGTTCAAAAAAACCAAATAGGGGTAAGTGACCGCTGAGCCCTCCCTCCCTCTAAAATTGTGTTTGTATATAAAATATTTCCAAAAAATGAGATGAGGTATTTTTCCCAAAAATTTGCCAACCTCACATAAAAGTTGAATTCCAATTCCGAACCAAAGAGGCGAAATCCACCCTTGCAGTTAAAAAAAAATTATTTACCACTCGCGCAATGATTTAAACAAATTTTGAATTTTTGAACACCTCTGGGCACGAATATCAAATTTGGCATGAGGAATAATCTGGGTCGCAACATTCACAAAATTGTTTATTGACAAATAAAATAATATTTATTTGAGAGAGAGGATTCTCAAATGGTGGAAAGAAAAATCCTAATTTAGCAGCTTTGAAATAAACTGCGAGCCTGTTGTTTTCTTATCGGCACGCGCTTATCTTGAAACTAATTAAATTTCACCTTATCAATTTTCTTTGAATGTCCGTAACACATGGAAGGATGGAACTAACACCTTTGATGTAGGTTTTTAAGTAACTGCCACAAATGTTGGTAGCTGGAAATTTTTGAACGTGAAAGTAACCGTGTGGCGCAGTGGAGTTGAAGCTCGACTATGGTACCGGGGGTCTTTGGTTCGAATCCTGGTTCGGTACAAAACTTTTAACGCTTCACTAATAAATTCTGAACTACCTACTCACATTTTAAGTTGTAAAAATATGGAATTCGCCACTCAGCAGTGTGTGGAGAAACAGTCTGCAGGAATTAGGCGATTTAATTATTCAAAAACCTTTCGGAACCAGTTAGAAACAAACTGCAAAACAATTAAGGTTTTTCGAGAAACCCCATGTGCTTGACTCATCTGCTTTGGGCGCGGGAGGGACACTTAGTTTGTTTACCTTCTTACAACCTGAAACATCCCCAAAGTCTCCTGACAGTATATCATTATGGTTTGAAAAACACGTAGGAAGAAGAGGAGACCATGCTGTACAGGAATTTTTAATGGATCAAGTCAAACTTCACTAAAGATCTAGACATCCCGTCTGCCTTGTGCTAAATAACACCGACTGCAAACTGTTATTACCAGAGGTTTCTAATGAACACTATGTACATGGGAAGGGCAGATACGATATCCTTCCACTGTAACCGCATTAATCTTCATTTTATCTCTATAACAAAAATAGAACGTTTGAAATACAGGAAGCACATTCATTTTCCTTGTTTATAAGTCGCAAACCGCACTTTTTGTTGTTTGGCATCTTTTTCAACTCTGAAAATGAACACGGAAAATGTGAGTTTTCGTATTGCAGGGTAACAAAGGGGGTGTAGCGGTTCGATTGGAGTTACACAATACTTCCCTGTGTTTTGTCAACGCACATCTCGCCGCAGGCGTGGAAGAAGTCGAAAGAAGAAATCAAGATTATAATGATATTAATCAGAGAGCAAACTTTCGACGGCATCCGTACACCATTAAAGAGCATGAGTAAGTGCCCGTCGCTTTATCTGTTGTGGTGTATATAACCGCGGACCAATTTCAGTCAGGTTTACTGGCTAGGTGACTTAAATTATCGAATCACGGAGCAGAGCGCTTTTCAAGTGAAAAAGTACTTGGCAAGCGACGACTTGGCGTCCGTGCTTCTCGCCGATCAACTCAATCAACAGAAAGATCTAAGCAAAGTGCTACAGGTAACATTTCTCCGCTAGATGGTGAGAAATAACACGTTTTTTAGGATTACACCGAGGGCGATATCACTTTTCAGCCCACTTACAAGTTCGACTTAAATTCGGACGTGTACGATACCAGCGAGAAGGCGCGGGCTCCGGCTTGGACCGATAGGATTTTGTGGAAAGGCAAAGGGATACACCAACTGGCGTATCGTAGTCATATGGATTTAAAAATAAGCGATCACAAGCCAGTGAGCGCTTTGTTCAAGTCAGAAATTTGCGTCGTCGATCAGAATAAGTACAGAAAGGTTCACGAGGAGGTGCTGAAAAAGATGGATAAGTTAGAAAACGAATTCTTGCCACAAGTTACTGTGGATCAGAGCGAGGTTATTTTTGACACGGTGAAGTTTCGCGAACCACAACATAGGGAGATTATTATCGCCAATACCGGGCAGGTTCTTGCTGAATTTGAGTTTATCAAAAAATTGGATGACGTTAGCTACTGCAAAGAGTGGCTAAGCATAACGCCGTTCTCGGGCTGTATCAAACCAGGTATTGTACTTATACGCTATTCATTTTAAGAAGGTAGCGGTAGAAAGCATAGGGACAGTTTGACCTTCACTGTGATTGGTTAAAACACGAGTCAGTATTACCCTGAAATATAAAACGAGTGACGAATTCTGTCTTTTAAAAGTTTCAGTTACGAACTAAACAGTCGAATTGTCATTAGCTGTCATTTTCAAAGATCCAAGCGTGATATCGTTTGATTTATATGTATATTTTTCAAATTTTGTGCCGTTTTATATTTTTCCTGTGTGTGTCGATCTTCAAACACAGCGCCATCTACTACCTTCATATAATGAATGGAGAATAGTCTTAGCAGGTGAATCATCATGTTCTTTGTAGGAGAGAAATGCGATTTGCGGCTCATTGTAAATCTAGAGCAGCCACTGGAAAGCATATACGATATTTTGGTGTTACATTTAATTGGAGGGAAAGACATGTTCATCACAGTATCAGGGGAGTGTCAGAGATCCTGTTTTACTACATCAATTGCCACACTGAGTCGAGCTCCAGTTCCGTTACTGCAACTTACGCCGGACCAATTCAAACATGCTGTACTAACCTTGTACCTATTGATTTTCCCTGCGCGTAATTTTCAAGTTTTAGGAAAATCAACAAAGCTCCATCCTGTATTCGATACCAAGAGAGCTATGGCTTTTAGTTGACCATTTGTACAGGAACGGTCTTAAAACCCGCGAATTGTTTGAGAGTACCGCCCTGCACGAGGAAATTATCCGAATTCGCGATTGGTTAGATCTGGGATCCATGGATCCGATACGTATCCTTTAAATTGGATTTATATTATAGTAGAATGGAGATACTTCCACTCCTCCAGAATGTACCACCAATCAGAGAACAGATATTAAACAATGATGAGTGTGATGAATACATCTGCATCACGTTCGTGATAGGTTTAGTCTCTCAAGGGCCGCCGTGGGGGATGTGGACATTGTTGTCCTCGGTTTAGTTTCATCCGATTCCCTTGTGTTTTAGTTCGTTGCCACCACACTAGAGCCATGTTACGTACATCCAATGGAATGGGTAATTTTTGGCTTTAGTCTCCACTTTCTCTACAGGTGCATAGTATCCCTGATAGCCTTTTTCGTTATTCCAGGTACTTGATTTTGTTCCCCAATGAGATAGGTGGATTTTATTTGAATTTAACTAACCAATCGTAGCCATTTATAACGTGGAATGTGTTGTATTTACATATGTGATTTATTATTTGTGTGTATCCCAGAGGGTGGAGGGGGTGTCTCTAGTTATCACCATATAATCCTTAACGAATTTCAGCTGGAAGCATTCACGCGGTCGCAGAAGCTCTCCTTTTGTTCCTCTCCTACACGAGGGATCCAATAATTCCATATCACTTACACGACACCTGCATAGCGGCGGCGTCGAATTACCAAAATTGCAAACAGATAGTCATGCAGAAAATGTCCGACCTGGATCGTAACGTCTTTTTGTACCTGTGCATGTTTTTGCAGGAGCTCCTAAAGTATTCCAACGAAAACGGCACGGATCCGAAAACTTTGGCGACGATCTTCGGCGATATTTTACTGCGTGACCCAATCCGTAATTCACGCCCGCAAGCCAACAGAGGCAAAGCCAGCTTTATTTATCATTTTCTAATTAATGATCAAAGTAGTTTAATTATGCCATGCAAGTGATTTTCACTAAGTATTATTTAAGTTATTTTTGTTGTTCATTGTAAATAGTATTTATTATGTATTTATGAGTGTGTCTACTACTGCGGGGGAAAGCGTGTTAGAAATGTGTGCTTGTACGATTGACGTTTATAGTAGCCAAACAAAAGACCTCACATGTATTTCACAAATGTATCGTGTGTAGCAATGGCAAAATGGCCGAGCAACCTTATTGCATTTATGTACAATTCCATACATCATAAAGAAACAATATTCATAAAACAATGTTTCGAATTATTTCCCCTGAAAAGTTGTTTTTTCCAAACGCTTCATGGCAATCAATTTTCTCATCGCCAGTTATTCCTGTGCTAGTGGACATTATAAATTGTCCAATTGGGAAGGAATAGTAAGATGAGAACTTGTGTTTGCAACGTTCCTCTGCATCCTTGACGACTACAGCTTCTCCGAAGTACCATAAGTCACGCCACAAACGTTTTCCACTTATGCGGCTATTTTCATGATGGTAGGGCTGTGATAACCCAACTCACCAGAGTGCTATTCCTTACCCATGTGACAGTCTTGCACTTTCAGACCATCTGAATACACCAAATCAAAAGTTTTCAGACTTTCTGGTGGTGCAAAAGCCTTGGTTTGCATTTTCCAACTCATGCTGGAAGACCACTTCCTCAGTCCCTCCATCCGAGTCCGTAACTACTCCTACAGATTTTTTAGTGTTCTTTTTGTATTCGGTATCTTATAGGCTATAGCTCTGGCACCTCGACCAAGAAAAATCTTGACGACTAATGTGCGCGTGCGCAATGTCATCTTTCTTATTTATGGATATTTTTTTGACATTTTAACCACATCACATTGTAAAAATCATATGTGCGCATGCGCAGAACTATTTATAGATATTTTGTCGAAATTTTAACCAAAGTTTCTTCCAATAAGTAAAGACAAGCATATATATCGTATTATTCTAAAAATTAGATGTACGCATGGGCGAACTGTCGGCTTTCTTATTTAAAGACATATTTTTTTGAAATTTTAACCAAAGATTTTTCTAGTAAAGATAAGCATATCGTACAATGTCAAAATCAGATGTGCGCATGCGCAGAGTCGTATTTGTAGATATTTTTTGAAATGTTAACCAATGATTTTTGTAGTAGGTAAACGTATCGAATATTTTAAACACCAGATGTGCGCATGCGCAGACTGCGGAATTCTAAGTTTCTTATTTATAAGAATATTTATGCTCCAACTTATTTTGTTTTGTACACATAAATAGATCGTTACATGACCTTTCGGGAGGTACTGATCAATTCATGGAAAATGCGCTACAGTACTCGCCTTGAAGGCGATAACCATTTTTTTTTTGTGAAGGCGTGAAAATCTTTTATACACAAAACGCCTTCGATCTATTAGCACAAGGTAATTGTAGAATCCTCCTTCCGATGCAGGTTGTCCTACCCACTAAAACCACTCCTTGGCCTAGGCAGGAACTGTTTTCCACTTCCTTCTGCCAGGAAAGGGCGTATATTTTGTACTAATTTAAATTCATGAATGTATGTCTAATTTAATTTGTAATTTTTATTATTATTTTTCTTTAATTTATATGTCACCACTAACCACGTCAGTTGATAATTTAAATCCTTTCTTTTTAACTACTCTCTTGTGTTTGTCCGTAATTGGTTGTTAACTGTTGGGTAATAAAATTATTATATTCGAAACTAACCTCTAATTTAGAATTGTGTCGTATATCTTTCGAAATATGTCGAACAGGCAGATTGACGTATATTTCATTTCTTCGTCTTTCTGCTTCTTCGGTTTGGGAATTAACACTAGCTTAGTTTGCTCCCAATACTTTTTGTGTGTGATCTCATCAGTCACCAGTAAGGAGGTCTTTCATCTCCTTTTTTTGTGTCTTTTTGATACTATTTTTTCTATGTTCTACAATATTTGGTTGATTTCTTCCTAACCTTGTTCAATCCCGTTTTTAGGGAGTTGCCGATTTTCTGTGGGTTTTTCTCGGCTCCGCTAGCTTGTTTTCCTGATCCCCACCCCCCATAACATTTTTTGCGTTGTAATCTCCCATATGATGGTTTGTTTGGCTTTGGGTATTATTTCCATTAGGTCGTCTAGTACATTTTCATACACGTCCATTGTTGCGTCTGGACTTAGGGGTAAAAACAATTATTGGGTAAATCGGTCATGAAGAATCGCTGGAAAATATTTTCAAGTTCTAAAAATGCCCACCAGGAGGCGTAACTGCCATCTTAAATTTTAAAATTGCATTTTCTTTAACTTTCTCGTAATAAACTAAACATTTTTTTTCACATTTTTAAAGAGAACCAGTTTATTCATCATTTTCATAAAAAAAACTCGGTTATTTCAATAACAAAGGTGGTGTGGGACGTTCAATTGTTCACTAAAAAAAGGAGGCTTAACCTCAAATGGCTTTGAACATTTCGTACGCAATTTGAGACACGACTGCCAATTGGTACACATATAAAATTAATAAGTCTTTAATTAATAATGTAAAGAAATACAACTTTGGTACATTTATAATGAGTTAAAATTCACATTGCCAAAGTGATTTGGGTGACTTATTACACTAAATATTATGGCATGCACAAAGATCAATTAAACCTCAACAAAAAGTGAACTGAGAATAAAGATCAGTCACCTCAAACACTTTGACAGATACTGTGAATTAATATCTTACAATTCCAATACAAAAGAGCACAAAGTCGAATAAAAAACGTTGCGAATAAAAAATGTTTTCGTGTGAGTAATAAAAATATTGCTAGAAGTATAGGTATTACATATTGGAAGCTTGAAGAATTTTGATAATAACATTTTTGAAAATCCACTAACTTACAGCTAAGATTATATAATCGCACACTTACAATTACATCTACACTATGGCTCCTCAACTAAATTTGCGCGCCAATTTTTGTCAATCGGCAAAAATGGAATTTAATTTAATGGGTAACCAATTTCTCTTAAACACAAGGATTGGAATCTATAGGAACTTAGTTAGATTAAATGTTGTATAATTAACTGTAAACACCTCTCCGTGTGTTTCCTATCTTGTAACTTATGAAGTATTGTGCCATAATGTTCAAATACATAGAAGCTATATAGTATACTCTAAAACATCTTGGGAGAACAAGCTGTGTATATTCAAAAGGGGTACAAATATTACAGTAGACACAAAATGGTTCACTCCAAATGGATAAAATAAAAAAAAATGTCGACACTACTTGAGCCGCCATTTAGAGAGTTCTTTTTGTATCGACTAAGTAGGAATTCTTAATTTTGCATGCTTCTTCTATTATATATTTTAACTATATAAACACTGATATCGTTTTTATAAGTATATATATGTATGTAGTATGTATTAATATAAATACTAATTACAAACAACAGAAAAAAATTCGTGTGAAGCTTATATCACACAAAAAAAGCGAAACGATTGGCGTTGCACAACCTTCAAACATCAAAAAACATGAAATGTCCATAAACCGGCCAATCCTACATCTATATTTAACGAAAATAAAACAACCTTAGCTCGATAAGGAAGCTATACCTATACAAAGCACCTATGCCTGCAATCTGATCAATCAATTTTGGCACGAGCACTTGATCAACCACAGATTCGTTAAAACCAAACAAGCCAAACACAATATAGTCACAAACCTCAAAATATCACATGACACATTGAGCCAATGTACATAACTAAATTAAAAACAAAAAAAAACCTACTGGCAAAATGTGTTTCTTTCTTAATATCCAATCTATTTTTTGGTTAATACGCGATAAAAAAAAAATTTCGAGTATTTATAAAAATATCAGTACAAACGGTACGAAATTTGTGGCGGAATTAAAAATTAGCGTAGCGTATAAAAAATTAACTAAATGTCAGTCTCCAAAAACGATGTCGCAAATATTTTTATAAACACTCGGTGCGGTTTCGTGACATGATCGATTAGGGATCGACGACGTCACAAAACGTTGTAATAATAATCTCGTTGGGGGTTTACAGATTACACTGCCACAGTATCGTAGGTTGTGAGTCCCCCGTTGAGACTGGTGGTTTGGTGCCCTGCTTCGTTTCTAAAAAGTATAGCGGTTCTATATCGCTTTGATGTTCATTACATTTGTCTTTGAAGCAAATAATCCCGCTCTTAATTTAAAGGTCATTTACTTGTGATAATCAAATTTACGTTTTTGAATTTTTTTCTCAGCGACAAGAGCGACGTGTGGATCGCTAATAGTCGAATAAAAAATTGGTCCACTCTGAAACTCCACTCCAAATGGTCGTCCAGAAAAATATTTCTGCCAGCATTTGTATCCTGAATTACAATCACAGGAGTATGTGGAGATTTAGTGAAAGACCATCCGTAGATTGAGATCTAGGATTATTTGCTTCATAAAATACCTAATTTAGCAATCTTGCTCTTAGTATTGTTAGACACACGAAAACGCATGCGAAATATTATTGGTAAATGTTTCCCTATATTACATAATATAGAGTCAATAATAACGCCAAACGCCTGATTGAGTAGCAGTCATCTACCTTCGAGTTGGCTATAGTATGAGAGTTGACTGTATAGGTAGATGTTGCCACATCATCTTGCGTAAAATGTAAAATTTCGCTGTTGTCATTTAATCCAATGTGCATATGAAAGCCATGCATTATTTTAACTGAAACTTACGATTTCCTGTTTGAGAGGAGTTCATGAAATGGATATAAAAAGTTAGTAACTCTAAATTAACATCTGAGACACTTTTCGATAATGAATTTGGTTTTAAATATCGATAGTAGTAGTGATACCTACTGGGGGGGCGCTACTAACCTCTCAATCAGTTTGCGCATTTCTTCGTGGGACATGCCATCCTTTGTACTACCTCTCATTACTGAAAATTAAGTCACATTTAACTACACGACCACGAGACAATAATCATGTCAGGTCAACACAAAATATATATATTATGTATGAGTAATGCAAACTAAACAAAATCATGCGATTAATTTGATCACTTGCAAACGAATACATGCTTTAAATGTGGTGTGCGATTATAAGTTAAAAAGAGGACGATGATTACACAAGCACTTACCCTCTTCCTTTTCTGAAAACAAAAATTGAACAGATGAAAAATAACTGCGAAAGCATATTCTCTTATTGTAAACGTAATGTGACGAAAACAATTGAGTAATTTCTTTACTAAATCAAGCCCCACTATAAGCAAAATTTGAAGCAACAGAAATAATTGGTGTCGCAAACTGAGCGCGGCTTACCTCCGTAATTGCGACTATTAATGAGCTGGTCTCGATCACATTCGGCTTCTGAGATTTCGTTACTATCTTTGGAATCGTTGAATGATTGGTCGTGATTGCGTGGCGGCGGTGGTGGAGGTTCGGGGCTGGTGTTGCCAGGTTGTAAGCGTAACGAACCCATTGAGCGGCGTCCAATGGAACCGCGACTACCATATTGATCGTACGGTGCATTGTATCCGCCGTATTGGGATCCGTACTGTTCGTCTTCGGGGGCGCAGTTGGCGGGGTCGTCGTATTCGGGTCCGGGAGAGTAAATGCTGCCGTTTCCTGTACGAATTGATTTAATTTTATTTGAAGGTAGTTAATTAAAACTAAATATGAGTTTCCATTGTGGTATTTAGGTTTTTTTGTATACAATTTTAATTTCAATTGTTTACTGTCGAGGAGATCCAACTTACATGTGGTGTAGGTACCACACTTGAGATCAAGATTTGAATTTCTGTATGGCAGTATAGAAATTAGAAATACCAGCTTTCGTGAAGTGTTATTGGTGGATGTGTTAAGAAATCGGATCTCCTTGGTTTATCCGATCCGTTAAGTGTGACCAGCGACTTCCTACTGTAGTGTAAATGAATTACAAAGGTAGATCTTATAATCTTGTTGTGTAACAACGTCATGTAGACGTTCTTTCGGCCTCAACACCAAAAATAATGACGAGACACCCTGTATTTGAAAATATTTATTTACGAATAAGCACAAGTTTGGTTTATTTTACTTGAATTTCTGTCTCAGTATTATGGTTCCTATTTTGAATTGTTTGTAATTGTGTATTATTTTTTTGTTTGAATTTGATCGCTATTCTAATCCATTAAAGTTAGTTAAGATGCTTTAATGTGGGGATATCTGGTCAAGTTTGCGTACTTTATAAAAGGCGTTATCTGATAAGGAGTCTTATCAGACGAGATTTAATTAGCGCACGTGTTCTTATCGCAGAGGTTTGCGATGAGTGCGTTATTTTTGGCGTAAGGGGTGCGCGACCGACGCGTCCTGTCGAAGCTGGTGCTATTAAGTCTAATTTAAGATTGGCACGGTTTATAAAAAAATTTGAGGAAGGGGATTATTTAATTAGAGAAATGGTGTTCTGTTAAATACGGGGATTCAACTAAAAAACGAGGCTAGCTGGTGCGCGACGGTTGGAAAGCGTGTACGATTCCTTACGCCATTCGGGTAGTCCTCCTGATTTGATTAGTTGAAGACGTAGTTTGTCTTTATTATAATAATTTTTTGCAGAAAAAAGTCACTTTCGGCAGCCCTCTGTGGTCGGGGTAAACTACCCTAAAATTGTAAAGAGGGTAAGGATTCATTTTTGGTTAAAATATTAGTCATATTATTTTGGATAGCATTCTGTATTCATATAATTTTTTTCAGAACATTTGCGTCCCTCCTAATTGTTGATAGAAGCACGCGATAAATATTTAGTTTGAGAGTAAAATCAATGCACAGATAAATACCCAACTGCAGTTCAAAAATATTCGTACACGAATACCGAGATCGCTACAACACCCGAAATGGTTAGGAGATCCCCACCCTTTGTTTATACACCTGCGTATATGTGTTCTCTCTTTAACCTGCAGGTTGCCATATAGTTGTCTCTCGCACGGGCACGTTTTTCGCTCTGACAGCCTGTTAGTGATGGAATCTTTTTCTGGCAGAGGTAGTTTACTCCGGTCACAGAGGGCTGCCAGAAGTGATTTATATAATATTCAGTAGGTATATAGGATTTACTGTGGAAATTTGAAATTACAACCTAAAATTGGTCAGTGGCTCTTGGTCTATGATTATTAAAAGACAAAAAAACGTAAGTAATTTTAAGATTTTCTTATTTTATTTGTCGAACGTCTGGTGCGGGGTAGTTTGTACAAACAAAGATTTGCCTTTATTGTAGGAATTTTGTTTTAAATCTTCATTTCGTGGGTTTCGGAATAAATGTTTGTCATTGTCAATCCAATTAATTGTGTGATTATTCGAATCCTTTGTGTGACCCGGACAGTATTTTCATGTCAGATTTATTCATGTGTCCAAGAATTGTGTTAGGTGTTAATAAAAATTTGCGTAGTTTTGGAATTTCCCACGCAGTAAAACGTTGAATTTCAACAAGTTAGAGAAAACTCCTAACCCTTCAAGTTATCGGATCACCAATTACCCAAATCTCTAAAGGCAGCTTTAGGGATTATTGTGTGAAATGCTGTAAGTAATTTTAAGGCTTTCTTTTTTTATTTGTATAGACCACTTGCTTGGGGGGTAAATGTAACGGACTTGTGCCCCTCTTCATTTCAGGTTTTTCTTGATTATTTTTTGCGTAATAGGCTTCGAATCAATTTATTATGTGTTTATTTGAATCCATTGTACGATCCAGATAAAGTTCTCATGTTCAGATTTTTTTCTATTTGTGCCCAAGATTTATCTCAGGTGTTAAACAAAGAAATTATAAACTCCTAGTCTTCACCACAAATTTGTGTGTGTGTTTCATTGCGCACCCCACATACGAGTATGGATCACTTTTAATTTTGTTAAACGAAGTTTGTGTAATTGATTTCTTTGGAATTTTCGGAAGTTCGTTGAGCCGAGTCTCCTAAATTATTTATTTTGAGTCATTATTAAGATTTTGTAACAAATGCAGATGTAGGAGGCGAGATCATAAAAATTCAATTTTCAATTTTTGATTTATTTGAGCTATAGGTGGACAGATGTTTTGTTGTTGGTGTAGTTGACCACACGCCATTTTACATATTTATTTGGCGCCCAACGTGGGGCCATTGAAATATAATTGAAAAAAAGAAAAAATATTCTTGGTTTCGCGCATAGGCCGAGGTTTGTCCCCTTTTTATATAAGAAAATAATAACGTTGAATTATGGATACCAATAATAATAATATATTCAAAAGGGAAGATTTAATTCGACATTGACACATTTTTTAAAACATGTTGCGTAGTTCCTTTTTCACAGTTTATGTTGCAATAATTCTTGAATAAAGTGGAAGAAAATGGAGAACGCTAATTTCTTCGAGAACTTCACCCTTGGGGTATGACAATATTAATATTTTCTATTTTATTGGTATAATGCTCAAGTAAAGTCAAGTTCAGATTTATGCTTCATATCCGTTCTAAAATCTCAAGGTTTATTAAATGTGTATTACCCGCGGTTCGTTATTTTTGTTGATCCGATCATCTGGCTCAAGCAAATATAGTATATTGGGGATACAAGGGAATAAGTTTTCTGATAGATTAGGGGTGCAGTATCTCTACCTAATAACCCTAAAAGCGCCTATTTTTACGGTATCTGATCTGATGGCTGTAGGTATATAAAAAAAGGTACTCAACTCAATTTGATTTAAGAGTCTGACCTACTTTACTTTACCTTGAGATCCAGTTCGATCGTAACGGCGATTAGATCGTGGCATCGATTGTGATCCTGAACGCGAATGTAACTGATGGGGTGTATTCATGCCGGACGGTCCCATTGTGCCGGAATGAGGATGGGGGAACGTTTGGAACTGTTGTACCTTGCTGGGATCCATTTCTTCGCGAAAACCAAGCAGATGGAAGGTGGCATACGGGCAGATTTCGTCATCCATGCCTATCGAATATCTCCCTTATAAGTTGCACAAGCAGTCTAGACGTTAACAAGTCACGATGTTAGATGAAAATGGAAAACGTGCAATGGGGCAAGCGATTTCTAACTTACACTTACGTTTACAGTAGCAAGCTCACTCTGAAGGTGTTGTTAGTAAAACAGAGATACAATTTAGAAACTATAGCGTAACTAAACTAATATGAGGTAGTTAAAGAAGAAAACAAATAAGAAGAAATAGAAAAATTAAAATTTAAGCAATAACCCGCTTCAACTTGTCTTTATAACAAAACTGCGAGGTTATTGAAATATTTTACCTCTATGAGTGTGGATAGTTTCGTTAGAGCCTCTGCGGTTGCTTAACTCTTCATAAAGGTGTCTTCGAGGGTCCCAAGTTGAATGAGTACGATAATGAGGTCCTAATAATGCACAACATAAAGTACCAAGCACATATATAGCCCAAAAAATTCTTCGTCATCAAACCATGAATAAAGCAAATTAATATTTTTAGATAATATGATCGAATGAAATCCTAATACTACGGAGTTAAAAAACACAACACGAATAGGAGAGAACTTTTTTAATCGTGAGGCATTAATTGCAACATGCGTGTGTGATTTTATGGGGCCGAGAGTGTCTTACTTAACACGGTAAAGTACCTCGCTTGATGCGATCGCAGGTGTTGTAGTTTGAGCCGGGCACTGGCGGTAGCTTCCTGTTCGGTGGTGCGATGTAACCGAGCTCATCTCGTAAATCTGGTCGCCTCTTGTCCAATGTTGACGTTGCATTTACTGACTGGTTATAAACAACATCATCTAAAAAGATATTATGATGTGCAAATTACTTGCCAGTTAGGTACAGTAAGTGCTGGCAATGGACAGTACCACCATGCAGCAAAGTTGAACTGGATCAAGCAAATCTTATCCAGTGATCCAGCTTGACTCACTTTATGTGGGTAACATAATTTGACTCAATGGCCTGATTTATTACTAGGGGTCAAATTCAATTCCACCAGAGCAATAATAAATGATTAAAGGAATAAAATATGTGGCCCAGTGACCCAATCTAACTCTGCATCATAGGTCGGTACTAAACATCTCAAGATACATGGATCGTTTTGTTTTTTTTTTTAAATTGCTATCTAAACAACATACAATCACCACGCAGACGAGTTTGCTGCGGTCCGTGTGATCTTCTCGACAACGCAACGCAAATGACAATTATCCCGACAAAAATAACAGTGACCGTAGCGACTACCGGCACGACGATGTTTAAATCGATCCAGTCGGGTAGCCAAGGGAAAAGTAACTTGGCGTCGGGCGATTCACGAGCGGGCGCTACGGTTCCTAGAATTAAACGGAAATTTTACCTTTATTGTAGTTGCCCTTTCCGCGCAAGACGCAGATCACGATGATAGCGACAATTATCACTAGCACTGCGGCAACAACGGGCACGACAAGATTTAAATTAGCAAGAATTAGTTGAAATGTGTCTTCTTTTGGAATTTCTCGTGCAGGAGCAATAGTACCTGAAATGAAAAAAAAAAACTTAAATTATGTTTAGTACAAGGGAAGCAAAATGAGAAGCGTGTTATTCAGGTACTATTGCTGCTAGCGATACAAATGCGTATGGAATAATTAATCACAAAAAATGACTTATAATCGGTAGGTACATTCATGTGCTACTCATCCAGCTGTCAAAGTAGCTGGTTTTCGGCTTACCTACAAATCATTATAGTCGCTTCACACTCAAACAATAAACTGAACTAGTCAAAACACACCCATAGCAAATAAATAAATAAATAAATCTACGGTTAAATCTTTACCACTGTTGAATTATATGGCCCCACGGTCTTAGGGTCACTTTTCGATTGAAAACTAAACATCAGTCGAGGTATAGGGTCTCTCCTAGAGGAGAGAGTAGACCCCCAAACTCGCGGGAGGGTTTGTAACCGTTAAAAAGCAAAGCATGAAAATGATATATTATTATTTTATACCTATGCACGTTTTTTTAAATGTTGAAAGTGCAGTTTAACGTCAGGTCAACTGTGATCCAAGACAGCGTGAAGGAGATAAGCTTCATGATGTTGATAATACAATATTTAACCTAATGACATTAAAAGATAAACACTAATAAACTAGTGAAAAAGGTTTTAAAATCCGTCAATAAATGGCTGAGAAATATATTATCTGAGTTTACGTATTCAGTGGGCAATACAGTAATGTCTGCACTGTCTGACGTCATTTGACCTAATCGAGTGCGGCCATTACGATGCAGCGTACCAATAACCAACCGTACACGTACTAAGAGAACCAATAGGCATTGTATGTGAATAGGTCAAGTGACGTCACACGCTGAAACACAAAGTATTTTTAATTTTAATTTTCTTTTAATTTTCTTTCTTTCTTTTAATTCTTGGGCATTTTTGTTTAATTTAACTGCAATTTTCATAATTAAATTACAACAAAAAACTGGAAACTTTTCTATTCTCGCAGGCAGATACGTAATACTGCAATACGGACTAAATATATTGAAAACTGTAGTAGTTAAAGTCTCGGACGGACGGACATAGAACGTGGCTGCAATAGCGCCCCCAGATTCATTGGTAAATGCGCAAAAAAATGTTTTTTTCTTCCATAAATTCGCTTTCTTTTTTTATGGTTCTTTTAATGAAAACTAATGGGCAGTTTATATTATAATTTTTTGCATGAAACTAAGCTTTTTGACCAATCTCATGTCTGATACATCATCAAGAGTTGTATTAAACTGAAAATATAAAATATACTATAGGTTTGACCTCCAATTAAGGTTAGGAACAGGGGAACTTTTCTATCATCCGGGACATCATTGCATAAAAATCCTTGATTATATTAAAAACGGATGGCCAAGTCTGGAATCAAGTCCACAGTTTAAACCATTTTGGGTTAGGCGAAATGAACTATCCATTAACAATGACTGTATTTTATGGGGTATTAGAGTTGTTATTCCAGAATTGCTGAGATCTAAGGTTTTAGAAATGTTGGTTCACGAACAACATATTGGTATCGTAAAAACAAAAATGTTGTTGAGATCTGCATTGTGGTGGCCTGGGTTATCTGACGATATCACTAAGGTAATCAGCTCTTGTGCGGTATGTCAAGCGTTTCAAAATAGTGGATCTGAGCGTACGTTGCACTCTTGGCCAACAACAGATAATGTGTGGCAGCGTGTTCATATAGATTTTTTTCACAAAAATGGACTAACATTCTTAATTATTGTGGATAGTAAATCAAAATTTTTAGACATTCATCTCATGTCTAGTACAAATGTTCTACAAACCATCGAAAAATTGAAGGTAACTTTTTCTATGTTGGGATTACCCTTACAATTAGTTAGTGATAATGGTCCTCCCTTCAATTCTTCTGAGTTTAGTAAGTTTTGTCTTGCAAATGGTATCCAGCCAGTTAAAACTCCACCGTACCATCCACAATCTAACGGCGCGGCAGAGAGAAATGTGCAAACTGTAAAAAAAATTACTGTCGAAACAGTTGTTTGACAATAATAAATCGAAATTGACAATTAATCAGCAATTGACAAATTTACTATTTGCATATAGAAACACTCCTAGTACTGTTACTGGTATGACTCCATCAGAGTGTATTTTTAAACAAAAATCACGTACCCGATTAGATTTCATTAAACCAGGAAATTGGAGAAACCCAAAAACCTCAAATAAAACAACATCCCCTATAACTAAATTGTTTTGCGAAGGAGAGAAGGTGTATATCAAAAATAATAAAGGCTCTCCAAATTGGATTGAAGGTTCTATTATAAAGATATTAAGTTTGGTTACATACTTGGTGGATGTTGGGGGATTATTCAAGGTGTATCACGCGGATGATTTGAGAAAGAGAAACGTGAACTCAGAAATGACCAGTATGCCCGAAACTATTGAATTAAATATACCTATAAGGTTATACAACTAAGTAAACCATGTGAGAATGTCCCAAATGGTAACTCGGATCTTCCAGAAGTCACAGAACCTAATGTAAGCGAAGAAATACAAAATGAAATTAAAGTAAATACTGATACAGATTACACTGGCACACCTGAGATACCATTGAGACGTTCAACTAGAACTATAAGAGCTCCGGATAGATTAAATTTGTAAGTTTGATTTAGAAGGAGGGAATGTTATGTACCTATTTCAGGAATTTTTAGTGTATAGAGGTTGGCAAGATCGGGAAGTCCAACAATGTCGTTTATACTTACAATTTGTCTGTATACAAGTTTAGTTTTCTCGCAGAATAAATGTTAGTTTTGGATCTGAAGTGTTATTTATTTATGAACTGTCGAACCCGGAAGTCAGAAACATAACAGTATATTATAATTTTTTGCATGAAACTAAGCTTTTTGACCAATCTCATGTCTGATACATCATCAAGAGTTGTATTAAACTGAAAATATTTTACCTGAAATTGGCTGTTTTGTAAACCTTATGTGCAGATTCACGTTATTTCCCTATGTAATAATAGGCTTGCCTCTCGTCATTCTGGACACCCTGCATTACTGCATCAATAACATTTGGTAACGCTTGAATATTTGAGTTACGTGAAAAATATCTTCATTTTCTTATAATGCATTATTTAAAAATGCTCAAATGTAGTCAATTATTTAAAATATTTTTCATTTTATTATTAGTTTCACAATTTTGTCCAGTCTCAGTCTGCTGAGGGCTCCATCCATTGGACCATGTGCTGCAGCTCAAACGGCCTATACCTGAATAGATCTGCTCCTAGACTCCTTACAGAGATTGTGAGAAGCTTAAGGGAGTATGAGAGGATTGGAGAACTTCAGAAGGAGAATTTGGATGGAACGTTAAAGGAAACATAAACAGAAGTTTGAGACGAACTTGAAGAGAACAATGAATATTATAGAAACTTAAAGAGAATTTCAGAGGAACTCAAGAAACATGTAATAACAAATTGAGTAAAGCTTGGAGGAACATGGTAATTAACAGACATATGAGAAGAAATTGGGAGAAGATTAAAGAGAATATGAAAAAAATTGAGGAAAGCTTGAGAAAAGTAGAAGGACAAATGAGTAAGTCATACTCCCTCTACTGACTGCCTATAGACTCATATTTGAGTCTACAATAAAAGTATGTTCTAAATGGCGGTGGAGGGGAGCTAAACGGTATTGTATGCACTTGTCCAACTGGAAGAATTCATGCACTGCAGGCGTGGCAAGTTTGCTTCAAGTGAGTATGGTGAACCCTAGCGAAAAGGAAGCAGTATAAGAGACCAATTAAGAATGTGAAGCATCCATTTACGATTGTATGTAAGCTGTCAACCAAACTTTTTGACAGCTCGAGCAAGTCCGAAAACCCCAAAACATATTTATTCACAAAATTAACTCTACAAATTAAAGAGAATTATAACCTCCAGTCAACGTCAGCGTGGCAAATTCGTATTCGGCCACATTAGTTCCGGCGTTATTATGTGCGGTCACCCTCAGATGGTACCATACGGCGGGATCGAGTTCGGAAAGCAGGAAATTACCGCGCGGTTTTACACTGTTAGCGACCTGAATCCACTCGTTACTTGTCCTGCAATCAAAGTCTCATTAGCGAAATACGAAGCCACGGTATATAGTCGTACTTCTTTTTCTGTTCGATGACGAAATAAAGCATCGGGCAACTGCCGTCGGACCACGCGTCGAGATGCAAGACGACATTGTTCGACAATACTTCGATGAATTTATCTGCGGACGGTATTCCGGGCTTGTCGCCGCGAGTTCGTGTGTTCAAGTTATCGGATGGATCCCCGGTACCGATGCTAAACGAAATGTTTGAAACGAACTTGTGATGGTTTGAGTAATTTACCTGTTGTAAGCGGTGACTTGTACTTGGTAGCGAGTGCCGCAAAGTAAATTTTCCAGAGTGTACTTTTGAGTTTGGCTGTCAATTTGGACCGTTTCCCAATTTCCAAAGTCAGGCTTGTAGTGAATGGTATAACCGTGGATGGGCTCACTATCGTCGGTGCTAGGCTTAATCTTAACTGTCAGCGAGTTGGTGGTCGTAGAAGTTAGGGTAACTTGAGGCGAGCGAGGCGGTGAGTTTACAATGAGTTGGTGAGTCACTGAGTCTTGGCCGAAAGAATTTTCAACGTGGCAAGAGTATTCGCCTGCGTCAGTGCGCGTGACGTCACGCAAGAATAAGGAACCGTCGGGTTGTTGACGAATGTGCTCGCTGCTCCCGAAAATAATGCCTTTAATTTTCCAGGTGATAACGGGTTGTGGAACGCCTACTGTCAAACATGGAAGAGTCACATCTTCTTTATAGGTCGTTACAAATGTGTCATCGAACGATGCAATTTTGGCCGGAACTAAAACAGGAAATTGTATTACCTAGGTAGGTACACATTGAAATCAGTATTGCTTGTAATATCAACAAACGGCTGAATTTCGTTACATGTGCCGTCTTCATTGGACCAAAATGATTACCGATTACGATTACATAAAAAAAATGCAAATGTGTAGTCCGAAACATTATTAGTAGACAAGATTTAAAGGCTTAAATTTGAAAGTCGCATTGAGGAATGTAGGAACAGTGAAAAGGGTTTTAGACAATAAAATTTTGTATAGGACGGCATATGCCAGGGACAGTTCATTGGTGAATTCACCCGCAACAAAACCTAGTGAATAGATTGGGCAAAATGAAAATGTCAATTTTCCTAAAGGAATCGACCTGTGAGAATTATTTGCATGAAACAGATTTTCTATTTTATTTATTGTTAAAAAGCGAATCCAAACAAAGGATTTGAGTTATTTTGTGGGGGAAATAAAAATTAATTGTCATTGGAGGTTTTGCCAAGGCCATAGAGGTTTAATTTTTATTTAATGCAAAATGGGGTCTTCAACCCTTTTAAATGTAACAAGCCGTTATGAGTGTGTGGTTTCTTGGTGCTTTTTTGAATCATTTGTTTTTATTTTAACGGACACCAGCGAGTTCTACTGTTTTCAGTAGCCATCTGTACTTTTAAAATTACACAATACTAACAATGGCTCCCGAATTATGCTTCCTAATTTTCTTGTATGGCGCTCTATATCCCCTCTGACACAATGAATTTAAATTATTCAATCAAATTAGGTATTTACCTGCTAATGAATTTGTGTTCATTGCGTTTATAGATTCAATGTAATTGTTCAAATTATATTGACGCACTTTTTTGTTTCAGTGATGTTACCTACCTCTGGCACTGGGAGCCATGACGACGCTCTTCGACGCTTGCCCTTCCCCGATGTTGGTCGAGGCGGTCACCCAGAATTCGTACTTGAGCTTATTGTCTAAATCTTTGGCCTGGAAACTCAAATTTTGATTTTTAATATTCGGCGCGATCTTTTGGGTTTTCGGCGTCGATTCGGAAATAACTTCTTCAGCCTCCGCCAAGCCGACCTCCCTTACGTATACGGTGTATAGCTCGACAATACCGTTCGGTTCCTGAGGTGGTTTCCAACTCACCAAAATCGAAGTGGTCGACATAACTAAAGCCTTAATTGCGACAGGTGCTTCGGGTACTAGGATTTATAAGTCATAAATAAGTGATGTACAAAGATTAATATTACCATCTTGTTCAGTTTGGCAATGAATTGGATTACTGCGAACGCCGTCCCCTCCGGAGGTGTAGGCTAGAACCTGCATCGTATAATTGGTGTATTTCTTCAAAACGTGCAAGATTGTTTCACTTGAAGCAGTTATTTTGGTATCCTTTGTGCTTTCATCTTCAAAATTTAACGTGAGAGACTCAGTGGGTAAGTAATCAACACTTTACTTACCATACCAAGAGTCAGATGGACCATAAATGACTTTATACCCCTTGATAATACCATTGGCAGAGCTAAGTGGAGGAGAAGTCCATGACACGCGAATGGTTTGCGCTGTTAAAGTAGTGCAGGTGGTATCATGTGGGGGTTGTTCAGGAGTTCCTTCGGCAGTGTACGCTTTGATATCTTCGGACATTGGTCCGGCACCAACTTTGTTGAAAGCTTGTACGACGATCGAGTATTGAGTGTAAGTTTTCAAATTTGTTACCTCCAAGTGGTGCTCTTTTCCTTCTTCCCGCACAAACTCCACGGTTTCGAATAAGTACGGTTTATCTGATGAAGCAAGCTTGTAGCCGACATAGTATCCTAATATCTCTCCATTCCAGTCGGAGCGCGCGGGTGGTTTCCAGAAAACTCTTAGGGAATGTTGATCACTGCCGTCGACTCGAATTGACGTTGGTGGACCACTGGGTGCTTCTTCTGCCGTAATAATAGTGACCGTGTCTGAAGGTTCGCTTGAACCGATTTCGTTCTCGGCGACAATCCGAATGTGATATGTGGTGGCTGGTTTCAGTGTAAAAATCCCTGCTTCAGTTTGGTCTCCTGGCGCCAGTACCCTTTCCATTCCCCCTTCCCAGGCGAGCTTGCTTTGTTTGTATTCGATTACGTATCTTGTAATTGGCGTGTTACCATCATACGGTGCGACCCACGACAACTGTACGGTGCGACCAGATTTATCCAGCACTTTTAGACCGTACGGTACTTCGGGAATCTCCTGCACTATCATATTAATACTAGTATCGTCGCTGCCAAAGGCGTTTGTTGCCACGCAAGTGAATAAAGCGGTATCGGATCGATCGGTGCGTTTAATACTTAGGTCAGAAATAACTCCCGTCGGCAAAATTTCTTCTCTGATTGTGTAACGAGCGTCTCCTTTGGGTTCTAAACGTTTGTTATTGATATTCCATAAAATGCCAATTGGTTTTTCCCCTTTAGCTTCACATTGCAAAACGGCGGGATCGCCTCGTCTGGAAGTTTGATTGCGCAGTTTTATATCGAATTGGGGTGGAGCTAAAAAAAAGAAACGTTATTAACTAGAATACGATCATATGAGTATGTATAAAAAAAGGTGAGGATAGACGGGGCCAAAACAAACATTTTCCCTAAATAAACTTTCTTACATTCGCTTTCCAAAGTTCACTTGATCATATACCTATGCCAGTTAGGAATTATTTGCGTAGTATTTGTAAAAGTTTATCTCATGTTCTTGCGATAAGACTCGTTCAAGTTTTGACGACGCATTAATTTGTTAAGGAAGTGGAGACGGAAACAGAGAAATTATTTTAAATAGAAGAGGAAGACGTTAATCGTGGCTTCTTTGAAGGTGGACGTTTGAAACGTAGCTTGATATTGTTTGTCGAATAAATTCCGGTCATATTTGATCATAATGAGAGCTGTCTCATTAAATTTCGTGGGCGCGTCTGAAGGCCATAGGTCTCAAAAATGTTTTTCTTTGCAAATATCTCGTTTTCTATGGTCTTAATGCCATTTGAAGTATTATATACATTTTTGGTCTCAAACATTTGTTTATACCGGGTGGTGCCTACCGTGACGCAGCATAGTGATTTCAATGGTAATTCCTTTATAGTCAATTACTAGCTCCCCTAATTATTTTAGAGCAAAAGTTTAAATACGTTTTTTTAGAGAAAAAAATACTGCATCTGTTCATACTATTAATTATAATTTTCCGTGTTTCAAAACCGTAGAAATGGACAAAATAAAAAGGTTCATTTTACAATAAATCAGATATGCCTTGGAATTACCTAAAAAAACAGCGATCACGTTTCAGTATTTGCCTTTGACGTTTATTAAATTTAAATTTATACCTACTTGGTTTACAAATTAGTTAAATAACTGCAAGTGCAATAACGTTCAAAATGTCTGTCAAAACCATCAGGAAAACGCCAATACATTCAACGATTTGGCTGCAGTAGCGGAAAATCCGAATATAAGTTTAAGAACAATTCCTCCCAAATCAGTTTTTTTTTCTTCGATTATGTAGGTACTCTGGTTCCGGAAAATTGCAAACAACTAGTCTCTGATGCAGCATTACATTCTCCAAAAAAACATTATCCCATAGATGCCTTTTATTGCGTCAGTTAGTTGAAACAGAATTAAATATGAAAATCGTTCGACGCCAAACAACCATAACTTAGATGCGATGCGCTTGTAGTTTGTTGAAAGATTCCACAGCATCATTGGTTTGTAAAAATCTAATTTTTTATTTTGTCGATTTCTACGGTTTTGAAAAATGGAAAATTATAAGTAATAGTATAATAATAATGTTTATTGACCGACAGATATAAATACATCCAATTACAGGTCAATTACTAATAAAGCTAAACGTAAGGCGCATTATAGGTATATAAAAAAAAGAAAAAAAAGATTATAGTAGAATTTATACAAAAATGATTAAAAAGAAAATTTTATAAGTATATAAATTAAGAAATTAAAAATCAAGTACTTTATTCGTGCCTAAGAGTTAATAAGATACTATCTAGAGGTGAGAAGTGGATGTCGCACATATTTGATATTCTATTGAAATTTGCACATATAAAATGAATAGGAGAAGCAGCCAATATGTTTGTGTTCGGTTTAGAGCAATAAAATTTGGTAGACGACCGTGAAGCATAAAATGGTACATATAAATTTATTAATTTTAGTATCTCGCCACAGTCTATCTTGTTATGAAAGAGATTATACAGGAATGTGACGTTAGACTTAATTCTTCTTTAGTAGTATGAACACACGCAGTATTTGGACTTTTGCTCTAAAATAATTAGGGGAGCTAATAATTGGCTATAAAGAAATTACCATTGAAATCCGTATGCTGCGTTGCGCCAGGCACCACCCTGTATACTCAACTGCATAGCATAATGTAAGGTTTACTGTACATGCCGGTAAATAATATGCCATATATTATTAAAATATATACACGGTGTCCATTTTTCGAGTGCCACTATGGGGATCTCACTTATCTTAAGAGATAGAAAGTTGGTGGTTAAATGGAGGCAAAGTTGCCAATTTTCGTGCCGAATAAGAATCTGAAAAGAGATTTGAAATATCTTCAATAGTTTTGAAGATATCGCAAAAAAACCAAAATTTCTGATTTTCGTTTTTAATTTTTTTATGATAAACTAACCGTAGTAGACATTTCTAATTAGCACATTATTCGGACACTTTTTAATGGAGATTTCAAATATGGCATCCTGTTTTTAATAACTTTCAAGATGACGGACAAACGCGTGGAAACTTTAGTTTTTCTTATGGGCGCCATTTTGGATTTTCACATTTTGAGATTAGGTACGTCTTTTTTTCTCTTTACAACGATATATCACACATGGTGGTTCAGTATCACATTTTTCCAAAAATACAATTTTTTATTTTTTGAGAAGAGTGCTTTGGAAAAACAAAACGTTCTTTTGTTGTCAACAAAAGTTTGACAGTTTGATCCATCTGTCTGGTTGCAGCGTTGTCAGAGAAGTAGAAATTCGATTTTCATCTCAACCGCTTGCAAAATTGCCTGCTCATATTAATTGGGTGTATCACTATGGGGATCTCACTTATCTTAAGAGATAGAAAGTTGGTTAAATGGGGGCAAAGTTGCCAACCACACATGGTGGTTCAGTATCACATTTTTCCTAAAAATACAATTTTTAATTTTTTGAGAAGAGTGCTTTGGAAAAACAAAACGTTCTTTTGTTGTGAACAAAAGGTTGACTTATTTCATGTAGTACTGTTTAGGTTTATGCTAGTTGTAATGCGAAAATGCCTTTTTCAAGTGCAGATCAAAGAGATATGATCCAAATTTACTACACTTCTCATCGAAATGCCCACATGACTGCTGCAACATACTTGCAGCGTTATCCAGAGGGGCAACAACCTAGTTTGAGGTATTTTTCTTTGCTGCATAAAAACTTGGGCGAATGTGGTTCTTTTAAAAGATGTAGACAGCAATATGGTGATAGACCCAATTAAAATGAGCAGGCAATTTGGCAACCAGTTGAGATGAAAATCTAATTTCTACTTCTCTGACAACGCTGCAACCAGACATGGATCAAACTGTCAAACTTTTGTTGACAACAAAAGAACGTTTTGTTTTTCCAAAGCACTCTTCTCAAAAAATGAAAAATTGTATTTTTAGGAAAAATGTGATACTGAACCACTATGTGTGATATATCGTTGTAAAGAGAAAAAAAGACGTAATTCCAAAATGTCAAAATTCCATATGGCGCCCTAAGAAAAACTAAAGTTGCCACGTGTTTCTCCGTCATCTTGAACGTAATTAAAAACAGGATGCCATATTTGAAATCTCCATTAAAAAGTGTCCGAATGTGCTAATTAGAAATGTCTACTACGACTAGTTTATCATAAAAAAATTACGAAAATCAGATGTGTTCGTTTTTTTGTCATATCTTCAAAAGTATTGAAGATATTTCAAATTTCTTTTCACATTCTTATTCAGCACGAAAATTTGCAACTTTGCCCCCATTTAACCAACTTTCTATCTCTTAAGATAAGTGAGATCCCCAGTGGCACTCGAGAAATGGACACCGTGTATATTATAAGGTGTTGAAATAATTAATGCTAGCGTCATTTATTTCAATACTTGCACTTGACCCCCTGTGGTCCCGGGGGTAGAATTGGCCCACTCCCGTCCTGGAGATCGTAAAAGGCGATCAATGGACAAGAGAAGCGACCAACCGCTTCTCAATTTCTTTTCTATCAAGTTCCCAAATTCCCTCATACCATCCCTCCTTCTTTCCCTTTTCCTTCTTTGCCGCCGTTTTGACATTCCGTTAGTTAGGAACCAAATTGCATGAAATTCAAAATGTGCATAGCTTTAGCCATATACGCAATGTCAAGCTATAGCCATACCCAGGAGCTCGCTTGCTATATTTGTTTACACATTTATCTAATTTAATTATCTCTCATTCCGAGGTTGGCTCTACGTGTCTTAAGTGACTGCACTACTGTTCATCTGTAAATGGTTGGTTTTAGAATTAATCGAACCCAAATTACGACCTAGATAAGAGTTCTCAAGTTACGTTTTTCTACTTATTTCCCAGAATTAGGCCATCAGGTGTTAATTGAAAATTTATCTTTTTATACATTAATTTTGTGCTGATTTTGCTGTGTGATACAAATTTTAAACTCTTAACATATAGTTGGAGCTCTTATTCCTCCCAAGTTTCCTTATATGTCCAGATATTTATATGACACTATCCTGTATCACCATATTTTCTACACATTTTCTAACTATATATCGCCTGCTAGCTTTAGATTGTGTACAGCTTTTAGTGACATTTATGTAATGTGCTAACTTTGCTGCCTATCACATAGCGCCCTGATTATTAAGCCAAGCCCAAGTCTACTTCTCTGAATCCATTGTAACCAGTTGTCGGGTACAGAGATCCAGCAACTTATTGAGGTGGTGGAAGAATTCTAAGGGCTTCTGGTGACCCAATTCATCACGTTCCATTCCAAGTTAAGTCCATTGTTTAGGTGTTACAAAACATTTTTTTAAAATATAAAGTGCTAGATTTTCCTTGGGCTTTACATGCAACTTTAAAGCCGCATAAGATGCTCTTATGAGCATAGGTAACAAAGTGCATAAAGTGACAAGTTATTGTGCGTAACAAGAACTTACCTTGAACGCTGATGAGTATCACAGCTGAAAGGCCAGAACCAATTCCATTAACCGCCTCACATAAATAATATCCCTCATTGTTTTTCTGAATGTTATTAATCATTAAAGTGCCTTCTTCGACCTTAATATCGGGATTATTGGGTTTAAAATCTTTATAGTCTCCAGGCGCGACTCCTGCAAACAATTCGTTGTTTAAACCTATCTTTTGTATAACCAAAGAATATGTTGGCAAGGGATTCTTGAACCAATCCAACAGGTGGTGGAAACTTGTTCGCACATTGCATTGGTTTAAGAATCTCCCTACTCCCTCCAAATGCCAGCTTACCCGTAGCCCGTTTCCATGTCACAGAAGGCTTGGGGAAGCCGTCGGCCTTACATTCAACTGCTGCATCAGAACCTTGAGCGAATGCTTTATCAGTAGGTTCTAATATCCATCTTGGCGGAACTACAAAGTATCTTTGTTATTCTCAACGAATCAAATACAAACTGATGTGTTCATGCAAAAGCTTTCTACTTTTCCGAATTGACAATTACATTGAAATTTTTACTATTTTTTAACAAGCAGTAGGTACAAACGTAGATGCGCAAGGTCTCACGATTAAATTGACATAGGTAATTCTTCAAACAACAAAAACTACGCATCTACACTTGCATATATTTTAATGAAGTGAAACTGCAAGTGCTTCTAAACAGCAAGTTACAAAAAATCATAAACAATTAGTGACAAATAATACTAATCAACTCAGCATACATAAGCGTGCATGAAATTAAAGCAAAAAGATAAGTTAGTAACAACTAAAGAAAATGTTAAAGGAGAAGGATAACATCCCTACAGATCTCAGTAGAGGGACGGGTCGGATTAATGGGAATTAGACGGATTTTTTGAGATCACACTGTATTCCTCGACTAATACGATTGCACCAGAGTATAGCATATACAAAGAAGCTGAAACGAACTTTGATACCGTAAATAGCTAAAGTAGCCGTGTAACGAACACTCCCTGCCTTATTTTTAGCAGTGCAACTGTAATCTCCACTGTGAGCCGCAGTTACAGAGTCGATAAAGAGCAACTTAGCCTTATTTCCGATCTTAGTTATGGTGACATCGTTCCCAGAAAAATTCCAGAATATTTCTAAAGGCATATCTCCTTCCGACACTAAGCAAGTTACTTGAACAGCTTGGTCCAAAAATATTGGGGAATCCCCAAAATGAAAAGGTACAATATGAGGTAGAACTGGAAAAAAAAAGCTGCGTTAATTACCATTCACAAAGAGAGCTGTTGTGTATTCGGCTTGGCCTACGGTGTTATTCCCGATACATGTATAGTTTCCGATGTTATTGTAAGAGACGGACTCGATTGTTAAGGTGCTAGTTCGTCGTCCTACCGTAGTTATCGAAATGCCGGAAGCGGATGTGATAGGGTTACCGTTGAAAATCCAAGTGATTTGTAGCGGAAAATCGCCTTGCGGTATTGTACATTGCAAGCTAGTGAACGATTCGGCTTGCATGGGATTGTCCTCAAAGGAAAAGGGTGTCACTCGTGGAGCAACTAAGGAAAAAAATTAAAGCAAATATAGTAACCGTTAACTAATAGCTGCGCCTGATAGATGGCGAATCCTCCTTCGTTCTTTACTTCGCACGTGTAGCTGCCCGCGTTGGTGTGCGAAACAGAGTCTATGCTAAGCGCCGAGCTCCGTTGGCCGATTTTCACAACCGATACCTCGGGATGGCTTTTTAAAGATTCATTGTTAAACTTCCATTCAATTGTTAGAGGCAAATCTCCTTCTGTGATTTTACAATTGACCTGCGCGAATTGACCCGCGTGCAGGGGGTTGTCTTCAAACGTAAAGGGTGTGATTCTCGGAGGTACTTGCAAAAGAAAAGTAATTGTGAGAGGTTGCAACAACTAGTGCTATCTAAAAAAAATCGCTCTCAGCTAATCAATCAGGTATGTATTATATTTGTAGACAGCACTAGTTGCAAAATAAACAAAAGACAGTGGTGCTCACAAGCAGAGGGTGTTAAATGTGCAAAAAAAAAACATAAAAGAAATTAACCATTCACTTGAAGATGCACGGTGTGAGTAGCCAGTCCAGCCTTATTTCTAGCTTCGCAGGTATAGTTTCCGACATTAGTGTAGGAAACCGATTCGATCGATAATATCGAGCTTCTTTTGCCAATCTTTGATATGGACACCTCTGGAAAGCTCTCCAAACTTTTACCATTCAACATCCAGATTATATCCAAAGGTAAGTCGCCTTCCGATACCAAACACGTGACTTGTGTATACTGGCCAGCATGTAACGGATTATTTTCAAAGTAAAATGGCGAAATGCGTGGTGAAACTATTAAAAAAAAATGATACCGTTCAAAAATTGCGAGAGGAATGTAGTGGGTTAAATGAGGATGGAGAGAAAAACAAATCAAAGTAAATTAAACAGATTTGGTACCGTTCACAATAAGTTCGCTTAAATATGAGGAAGTTCCGGCTGAATTTTCCACAACGCAAGTATAATTTCCAGCGTGATACTCTGCAAGTAATTCTATGCTTAAAACAGAGGCCTTCTTTCCGAATGCTCCCGAATGGATACCAGCAATTTCCGAGACCGGTTTCCCGTTCAACTTCCACGCGAATTTCATCGGTAGGTCTCCAACTGAAACGCTGCACTGGACAGTCGTAGATTCGCCAAGGTGCGACGGTTCATCTCCGAAAGTGAATGGAAGAATTTTGGGTAAAACTAACAAAAGTAAACAGCTATAGCTAATAGGTGAGTAAAGCAAGCTAAAACAAAACAAAAAATCGAGGTACCCTTCACAATTAGACTGGCCGAGTGACTTGAGTGTCCGGCGTCGTTTTCGACTACGCATGTGTAATTTCCGGCGTGATGTTCGCTCAAGAGGTCTATGTTCAAAACTGAAGTCTTCTTTCCGAACAAGCCAATGGTAATACCGTCAATTTCCGATAGGGGCTTCTCATTTAAAATCCACGAGAATTTTACAGGTAAATCGCCAGAGGACACGCTACATTGAACAGTTGTCGAATCGCCAAGGTACGCAGGCTCGTCTCCGAAAGAGAATGGAAGAATTTTTGGTAAAACTGAGAAAAGTGAAGAGGCATCAGTACCATTTAATGACTTATACTTGATGAGCTCAACTGTAAGTAGTCTTGTTTCTGCTACATTTTTAGGACACAACCTGGTTCCAAATATAGATGAAAACTACCTATAGTCCGTCTCACCTTAATGGCTCTTATGGTGCGTAAGGTCAAAACACCTCTTAATCCACACCTACAGGTCCACATGTCCATCTCAGTTTTTGCTCATTCATAGTGCCAGATCGATATGACAATGCACCTGTAGGTGTGTACCTACCTTTAGAGCATTTAGAAATCGCCTAGGTATAGAAACAAAGGTCTAGTGTGCGTCGCAAACCAACGAAACCATACCTTTGTTTCTATTGGCTATTTCTTAATGCTCTAATCACAGTGATAATAATAATAATGATTGTATAGACCCGCCATTTGACTTGACCCATAATTCGAATTACCACAATCCAATGGTAAGCAGTCCATTAGTGCTTAATAAAAGGTATTGATGCCTCCCGATAGGTATTACTGAACTAAACAAATAGCGGTGAATAAACCAAGCACAAAAGGTGCAATTAAAACTAGTACCGTTAATCAGAAGGGTTGCGGAATGGGTAGTGTGGCCCGCCCTATTCGTCGCCGTGCAAGTGAATTCTCCCAAATGGTTCGCTTCCACTGACGTTATGGTCAGTAAGCTGGTCCTACCGCCGATTGGTAAAATCGAAATGCCCGAATGTTGTATTATCGGTTCGTTATTGAAAGTCCACGCGAGAGTAACCGGGGCGTCGCCTTTACTGACGTAACAATTCAATTGTACACTATCGCCCACATTGGCCTCGCCTTCAAATTCGAAAGGTGTAATATGAGGAAGAACTACAGTGGAAAAAATGCAAGTTAAGCACAGACACACAAGAAGTACGAACTACAAAATAATAGGTACCGTTAATATTTAATTGAGCTTTAAATGTCGCGGTGCCTGCTCGATTGGAAGCGATGCACGCGTACTCCCCAGCGTGTTCCGCTCGAAGCGTCTCAATACTCAACTGACTGATTCGTTTATTTGTTAGCAGCGTAGTGATTGTGTCAATATTTGCAACCGATTTTTCATTTAAAAGCCACGATATGTTGAGAGGAAGATCGCCTTTATTAACAGTGCAAGTGATAGAAACCATTTCGTCGGCATTTAAGGTATCTTCGCCAAAATCAAAGGGTAAAATTTGAGGTGGAACTAAAAATCAATACAAATTCATTGGCACGGCGAAGCTAAGTCTACTTAACATAGAAACATAAGTACCGTTAATATGTAAATACGACTTATACTTTGTAAGACCTGCGTGATTGGCCGCAACACAAGTATACTCCCCGACATGCTCGGCTCGTAGTGACTCGATACTCAACTGACTTATACGTTTGTTTGTTTCGATTACCGAAATTGTGGGAATATTCGACACTGGATCTCCGTTTAAAAGCCACAATATTGTGATAGGAAGATCGCCTTTATTGACACTACACATTGTAGAAGCCATATCATCTGTATTCAAGGTCTCTTCGCCAAAATCAAACGGTAAAATTTGGGGCGGAACTGAAAAATGAACAGAAACGATTAGGGGATAAGAAGGGAGTGACTTTTAACTAAAAGTGGAGTAAAAATACCATTCTCTTGAGTTGCCCCCCTCTCTGTCTGGGGTAACGGACCATTCAGAAATAGCATAGTACCTACAGATTTCCTCTGTGAAAAATCGCAATGGTTGGAATAGGAAAGAAAGTAATTATAAAAATTGTGATTTACGTCATGGACCAAATAGTACAAGATCCCGCATAAGGTCAACCTTCGCTCATTTGTTTACCGAGTAAAATAGGTACATTTTTAAGCAATCCTAATATGTTAACAAACACATTGTAAATGGGTTGCCTAAAAAAATTGAGTCAAGACGTCCCTTAATTAAAATTAATGTAATTAATATTTCTGTTTGCTTCTATCACATGGCGAGAGCGCGTGCGCACTCTCTCACAGCTACTTGTGGTGTAGGCATCGAATGTAAGAGAGTGCGCATGCGCAGACGGAAATATTAATTATGTTGATTTTAATTAAGGGTAGTCTTGACTTAATTTTTTTAGGCAACCATATATGCAATGTTATCAAGAATGCTATTTTACTCGGTAAACAAATGGGCGAAGGTTGACCTTATGTGAGATCTTAGACCAAAAGAACAAATAAGTATCTACACAAACAAGTAAATAAATATTTTGATTACCAATGACATTTAAATTGTTGATATGTGTAGCAGTTCCCGCTACATTTTGCACAATGCAAGTGTAGGAACCGGCATGTTCCGCTTGGACAGAATCGATGCTTAAAGTGCTAATCTTTTTATTCACTCTCGAAATCGAAACTCCTTTCATAGATGTAATGGTAGCATTATTATGCATCCACGTAATATTCACAGGCAAATTTCCTTTATTAATAGAACAAGATAGAGAAGCAGAGTCTCCGGAGTTGACGGAGTCTTCTCCGAAATCAAAAGGAACAATTTGAGGTGCGACTGTAACACAGGTCAGAATAAAAGTAGGTAAACGGTCACACTTAAAAATACCACTAAGCTACACCATCTAATTACCGATGACGTTTAACGCCGTCGTATGAATTGCAGCTCCGGCCACATTTTCAACTAGACATGTATATGTTCCGGCATGATGTGCTTCAACTGACTCGATACTGAGCGTGCTCAATTTCTTGTTAACTCTACTAATTGAAACTCCTCTCGTGTAGGCAATACTCGCATTGTTATGCGACCAAGTTATGTTGATAGGTAAGTTGCCTTTTATAATGGAACAGGATAAAGAAGCTGTATCGCCTGAATTAATCGAGTCTTCTCCGAAGTCAAAAGGAACAATTTGGGGAATAACTATAGCAGAAATAGTTGTATTAGTTACACATAGAGAATGAAACACCCTGTCACCGAAAAATGTGTAGGAATGGTAGGCATCAACAACAAAAAGTTATACACGAATACATCCTACCGTTAATATGCAAATAGGCCGAGTGAGTAATAGATCCGGCTAAATTTTCGGCAATGCAAGAGTACATTCCCACATGATCCGTCTGTACAGAGTCAATGTTTAGTTGACTGGCTCTTTTGCTATTCATTATATTTATGCTACTTGTTAGAGTTACTGGTTTGTCGTTGAATATCCAGGATATTTTAATAGGAAAATCTCCTTTATTCACAGCACACGTTACTATAACCGCATCGCCCAAATTAATAGACTCTTCTCCGAAGTCAAAGGGTAAAATTTGAGGAGGTGCTAAAAAGAACTACAATGATAAAATAAGAGATTCGAAAAGAGAAAACAACAGAAAACAATGAATTACCAATAACATTTAAATACGCAGTGTGTTGGACGGTTCCGGCTATGTTCCGGACAATGCAGGTGTACGAACCCGCATTCTCCGCTTCGACTGAATCGATACTTAAAGTGCTAATTTTTTTGTTCATTTGCATAACTGTCACTCCTCTTGTATTTGCTATAGTCACGTTATTATGTAACCATGTAATGTTAATGGGTAAATTGCCTTTATTAACGGCGCACGTTAACGAAGTCAAATCGCCGGAGTTTACGGATTCTGCGCCGAAATCAAAGGGGACTATTTGAGGTGCGACTGCAAGAAGGACAAGGTGGGATGTTAGCAAACTTAACAGAAAGATGAAACGCCCTCTAGTCACAAATTTTCTAAAAAATGGGCTTTCACACTAGAGAACGTCTCAAAATGAGCATTAATGCTAGTGATAAACTAAGAATACCCTTGACGGATAAATAAGCGGAGTGCTCGACATGTCCGGCTGAATTTTCGGCCGTGCAGATGTATTTCCCAGCATGCTCCGCTTGAACTGGATCTATACTTAATTGACTTGTTCTTTTGCTATTCAAAATGTTGATACCACTTTCGGCGCGAATTATTGTATCATTAAATTTCCAAGAAATTTGAATCGGCAGATCTCCCTTTGCTACCGCACAATTGATTATGATCACTTCTCCGGAATTAACCGAGTCCGTTTCAAAATCGAAGGGAACAATTTGAGGGGGAACTAAAAGGCAAAAACATAGATTAGCTTTGGATTTCGGCTTTGGACTACAAAAACCATGCAAGAGAAAATTATACCGTTAACATTAAGATAGGTTGTATAGTTTGTTGAACCGGCTGGATTCCTCACGCCACAAGTGTACTCTCCAATATGATTATATTGTACAGACTCGATC